CACATTCACAGTTGGAGGTAGGGTATAAATATTGTCTCTAGCTGATCCCTTGATCCACTCCTAGCTGAATTAATCACATTCGCAAATCAATCCAGGATTTGTTGCTGTCAGAGCAGATGGCCAGGCAGACTGCATTTGTGAGCAAGGCGGGCACATTCTCCTTCCAATTATCCATCAGCATTTTCCAACGGCGGATATTTAAAATTAGACATGATTTTGAAGTCATGCTAAATCTCTGTTGTTTCTTATTCAGCTCAATAAGGGCACTGACCCCTAACTTTCTGCTCTCCTGCCCTCGAAGGCTTTAGTGAAACTGTGGGATAGCTGGTGCCCCTTTCCCTTTCAGCTGAATGTTTTCTGCCCCATTTTCTTCTGCTGTTTTCCCGTTTCCTGCAGAAAAGAGGTAACAACAACAGATGCTGTTTGGCATGGGGATTTCGAGGGTGCATTATATTAATTGTCAAGCTGAGTATGGCAGAAAAGGGAAGAGAAGCTGCATTCATGCTACTAGCTGTCTGCCATGGCACATAACAGCAGGGATGGTTAACAGAGCGCCTTTCAAAAAGCCTTGATGGGACTTCCCCATCGCAGTAGTAAATTTGCCGTGAAAGACAGTCATGCTGTTTTCCCAGTGTTCACATCTGTTCCGCATTCAGAGTCTTTCTGGCTGATAATTGCTCTCCTCTCCCCTCCATCTCCCGCTGAGGAACAGCGAGAGCTGTCAGGGGAGTTTCAGCAGAGCTCCATCACATTCTATAGAAGATGTCTCACCACCAAAGGTGAACAAGGTTAACCAAGAGTATGTTTGCAGTCCCTGAAAGAAACATGACAGAACAGTCCAGAGGAGACGATGCCCCTGCAGTGTGACAAAACGGATCACGCTGATTAACTACATCTATGCAAATGTATTTAAATCATCTCCTTCACTTTCTGGCCACATTAAAGACGCAGAGCCTACTCAGAGCAAGGCCAGGCTGCACAAGATGCTGCACCATAAACACTGCGGCAGGCAGCCTGGTATCTGCATAAGATCACATCATCTTAGCAGCACCAAAAGGAACAGCAGATATGGAAGAAAGCCTACAGGAACTGGGAGGGGAACGGTGGGCAAGTTTACACTGGTGTGAATACAATTTCACATGCTGGCAGGGTCCTCACCACTACCTGAGAATATTCACTGTTTGGTATTTCACCATTTCCCTTCACTGTTTTCCACAAAATTAAAATTGAGCGTTAATAGAAAAAATAGGGTATGTAATTGCTCAGCCTTATGCTCAACTTTTCAATATAGAGGCCTGGCAGACACAAATGTGTATTAATTGGAGAAATTAAAAGCTAACGCCAGGGCTCCTTGCACTTCAGAACTGTTGCGTTCATCAAAACATGGCTGGAAAAGAAGCTCCTGATGCCTTGAACACAGCACAAATCAAGCCAGTCTGCTGCCTTATACAGCGGCCCAGTGAGAGGTTGCCAATGCCCCAAGGTTGACTGTTGACCCCCAGAGAACTACAACCCCTTTTCCTCCCTAAGCTGCACATCCGGCAGTTCAGGACTGCTCTTTAGGAACACCAGGGCTTCCTCGTGGATCCCAAAAAAACTCTCTGTTCCCCAGCAGTTACAATTTAAGCTGTGTACCCAGAGCAGCCTGCAGGCCAGCTCAGCACACAGGAGTGATTCCCTGGGCTCAGCACCCTTCTGGAGTAGAATGGGAAGCAGCAGATACTCCACAAGTTTGGTACCATCTCCACAGCTCCTCCTTCACTGTTAGAGGCAGCTGCCTGCCCTAAGGGAAGACCTGCAGAGAAAGACTGTTACCAAACTAGTCATACATGCAGAAGCAAAATCCAAGAACTCCAGCCCTGAGATCTGTAAACCCCTCTGTGCAGATTTGTACAGCTGCACAGAGGTTTTCCATTCTGTTTCCTATTCCCTTCCCTAACTTTGACTTTAACAAGCACTCAACTCCCCTTTTCATAACCATTAGAAGTCAATGACCTTTCCTAAATGAAGGCAGCTGCCCTTCCCTTCATATCCTAGATCTCCTTGCAATTCTCTTCAGTCAGTTTTTGTTTTTACCACCCCAGGGATCTAGCAGGACCAGTAAACTATCACCTCTTTTTCTAGTTAAGCGTACCCCATTCCCAGAACTTTTATCAACTGATTTTGTTGCAACATAAAGTGACCAAGATGCCAATCAAAAGCCAGATGTGCTGAAGCAGCTGTGCATCTCCTTTACAGAGCTCTCTCAGCTGGAAGAGAAGGGGTTTACTTCTGTCATGTTTAATCTGTGGCCCATTAATTCTGCTTTTCAGCATTGGCAGAAACAATGTATGTCAGCTACTGAAGCTGAATTCCTTGGATTATCTTTAGCAGTTTTTCCAATGATACAGGAAAAAAATAATCGCCAAAGGTCAGAAAAGGAAGAAACAGTCAGCAAGAATGTAGAAAAGGAGTCCTTCAGTCAAATTAATCTAGTGGTCTCTTGGGCAAGAGAGAGATGAGCCAACTGTCAGAAGGAAAAGGTACAACAATGTTCCTTTGGCTCCTTCAAGCTCTGGAGTCTCCTTGACAACTACTCTGACATTGTTCAGTTGGCACCTGCGCTCTGTGTTGTATTTCACAGCTCAACGTTATACCAGGAGCCTTGACTTTGTGAGAGAGGTAAGACATGGAAGCCTAAGTGTCATTTCAGAATGAAATCGAGCCCCCACAGTCTTGCAGCTCACGCTGAGTTTTGTGACACAAAGATGCAAAGCAGCAAAGGAGGATGGCAGTTATCCCACAGCACTCCATCAGCTGCTGTCCTCTCCTCTCCCTTGCCACCACCCTTCACAACAGACTGAAAGAGGAATTATTTTAGGTGGAAGAGCCAGTGAGGGAGCACATTCAAGACTGAAGACCACAATACAAGTCCAAAGCAAACTCCAGGAAGCTGAGAAAAGGAGGAAGGCGATACCTCGTATTAATAGTTTTTCCCCTCTCAGGCACCTACCCGTGCTAGATGTGCTAATTTGCAATTAAAACAGGGCAAAAGAACCTTGTAATTAAACATTTTATTTAAACCAATACAAGCACCATGCTTAGCAAAAAAAAAAGATTTGGTTTAAAGTAAACATGCAATGTGAACTAGCAGAGACTAAACAGCATATGGAAGTTTGTCCTGGTTACTGATGATTTCATGGAATTGCCAAAGTCTCAAAACTGGCCATGAACCTCTCGCACCTTTTACCACCCACAGCACTGGTGCCAACCCTGACATATCACAGTACACAAGTCACATCTAGTCTGGATCACATCACAAAAGCAAGAGTTTCACTGCGCCCCACCTCAGGTCCCATCACACCTCTGTTTCAGTTACTAGACATATGTAACGAAAAAATACATTGCATGACACCTTTTCTGAGTGCACTGAAGTGAGGAACCGAGCTCTCCTGCTTTTGTATGCTTGATTCAGACCCCTGGTACCAGTTTAACATTGTTTCTGGACTAGCTATTTTACAGTTAAAGATACAAAAACTTGAATCCTGGTATAAATTTATGCATAAGATGCTCCTTTGGAGAAGTGAAAAGGTGTCAACACCCAATTATTGCCTCCTTTGATAGACCAAAACAGCATTCATGATACTAAAAACACACTTAAACCATCAAAAACTGGCATTTAGGGATTTTTGTTAAAAATATCCAAACAATACAAGTCCATTTTATGGGCCGACATGCAAACTCATGCTTTAATTCAGCTTACCATCAATTAATAGGATTACAAAACCTGTATCCCAGCCATCTATTGAACAGTTAAAGCAAATCAGGTTAATTGTGGCATAAGTCTCCCTTTGAGAGACCTTTAACTCCAGGCCAATGATTTTATGGCCAACTTACTAACTCCTGAAAAATCGGAGCTCACAATGGAAAATGCTGACTCTCAGACCTTTAGCTACAAAGGCTCCCATAGGTGGCATTAGTTAATTTATCTTGTCCTTTAGTTTGAACCCTCTTTAGAGATCTGAAAATTAAAAAAAAATATGCATGATTACAGATGGGCAACTCGCTAGTAAAGCACAGTCAGAAAATACTGGCCTTCTGAATGTGGATACATCTGCCTCCCACTGATCTTAAGGCGGAAGCAGTACAGAAAATACAGTTCTGAAGATAAGGAAAGGTTATGAAAACAAGTATTATCTGTGCAGGAAAGATTTTGACATAATTAATGTCTTTGTTTAATCAAGTATGAGCACTACCTGCATCTCAAGAGCATAGGACAGTAAGCAGCAGACAGTTGTGTCAAAGCACTGCATTAAAAACAAAGAAACCACAAACAAGCCTAGAACAGCAAACATCCTCCACACATCCATTCTCCAAGTACCTGCAGCTGCTTCCTCACTTCCACAGCTCAGGGAGGGGAAGGAGGTACAGCTACCAAGCAAAACTGTTTGAAGAATAATACTGGTGGGCTGAGCAGCATCAACATCACTTTTCATAAAAAAGTGGGCTTTAACACTCTTAGCAGGATTTGTTTGCTTTCTGTAAGACTCAAGGGGCAGCACCCAAGGCAGAAAGTCCTTAAGTGGAGGCAACAAGAACACCCAAAGTGAACCAAAAAGGACTAAGACTGAAGATACAGCCATAAGTAGCAATATTTTCTTGGCAGAAGGTGGAATGATCCAGAGATGAAGACTCAAATTCAGTCATTTGGCTGCAGTAGCTCCTCCCTTCTCCTCCTGAGAGAATCAGGCCTTTTACAGTTATTTTTCTCAAGACCTGTGCAAGAAGCAGTTGGATGCTGGTGGCCCACCAGTGTACAAAGTACAAAGATTATTAATCCAGTTTTCCCCATGACAAGTCAAGCTGAACGTGACATGTGGCAGCTTCCCTCTCATGCCCACTGCACTTTGACATGCCTTACCTTTAGCACAATGCCAACAAAACAAGATTCTTTCTGTTTCAAGACTGATGCTTAGAATAACATAATTCTTTAAGGCAAAGTCTTATTTATACAACGTTTGTCACAAAATACATTGTTTTTATTGATCTGTAGTACAGAATGACCAAGCAACAGTTTCAGAATCAACATTTTTTTGTCCAGGGAAATTAAATGGTTTTTCCAGTTCACTATGTTAACACAGAAATTTAATTTTAATTACAAGCATTTCCTTCCTGCACTGAAAGATCAATTTAATTGGATCATTCTACCGTGTATTTTGAAAAGCTCCTCTCAAGTCAGATTTGTATACAAATAAATGAGCAGTAACATCAAACTAAGAAGAGATTTACCAACACTGAGGACCTTTGCAAATGAATTCCTTGTGATCTTAGAGGAATTAGTGTTTTAAACACTAACATATGCTTACAAACAAAAAATAAACCTTCTTTCAGCAAAGGTTTCACAGCATGAAATACTGGCCTCCAAATTTAACACTGCATTCCTTCTCACTGAGCAGATTGGTTAGAGCAGCTGTATTTTAAGGTATGCTATCAACAGGAAGCTGCTCTTACGCAGATACTTACTCAGTAGCACAACAAACACTCATGAGCAAGCTAGTGAGATACTGTCCCATGAGTACTCCTTTTGCCACTGCATGGGCTGAACATGTCCCATATCAGACAACTACTCTACTGAATATAAAACAGACCTGTAAAAAGACTGGTCATTTATAAAAGTTAAATACTATTTTCACATTAGAATAATTGCTGTTTCAAAGAGATGAACCGTAAGTAAATTAAAATCAAATTATCACTTATGCAAAAGCTTCATCTGGAATGTAATTTTGATCAACAAGCAGTTAAGAAAGTTAGAGACTGTAATTAAAGTACTCAAAAGCTATGTGTGGCCAACTTTTATAACAAAAGAGATAGAAATCATTCATTATCACGAAAAGCTTTAACCTCCTGACTCCTACAAATGGAGTAGATGACTGGAATTTCAAAGAAAATGAGGTTAGCTTTTTTTTTTTAACAAATGTCAACTGCAACACTAGGCACTAGGAAAACATGTTGCTTTGATTCTTTAACAAAGTTTTTACCAAATTTGTAATAAGCGGCAGTGTAAAATTCTCAAGTCATTTTAAAGCTAACAAATTAAAGGCACACAGTATTAACAGGTGTTCATATAAGAGGAAATGAGCAAAGAGGTAAACTTCTTAACAGTGTAATAAGTTATATATGCAAGATACCTGGTATGAGAGTAACCAGAGTTGTAATTCAGCCCTTAGTTATCATCTAGCTCCTGTAAGACTATAGTAGCACGAGAACTGGACAGTCAAAGCTTTTCCCTGAAATTTAGTAAGATTGACTCAGGTCAACTGAGGAATTACTGGAATGACAAAAATTAGTTGCAAAGATTTGAGAAAGATCACATGGACTCGATGGAAAGATAAATGAATGGATTTGCTGTACAAGGATTTTGTCTTTTTAATACTAAATGCTTCCAGGGAGTAGTTTTCAAAATTGAGAAGACATGAAGTCAAAAAGTCTGAAAAGTAACTGACAGTACACAATTTCTGCATATAAATGGCTAGTATATGTCATAAGGATGCATTTGTAGCTCAGAAAAAGTTAGCGTCAGCTTCCAAATTATGTTTGTAGATATTTATGAATCCAGAACTGAACTATTTTAGTTATAGAAATATTAGTCACAAGAGTGCAAAAGGAGTCCCTGCAGAGGAGTATTCCCTTTTAACAGGTACAAATAAGGAAACACCTGCAAAGATTTGTTACTTCAAGGAGACAGACCTGCTATTCTTTGCACAAACTTTGCACAAGAGATATACTGCAGGAGACAGATGTAAATACAGTGCATTTTTTTAGATGTAAGTACTCATGTCTGGTTCCAGTATTATCAGGATGGTACATAAATACTTATTACAGAGGTTTTCTTAATGGAAGAAGCCCAGTTTCTCACGCAGCCATTCTTCAGTTAGGTCTTCTGTATTTCTTATTTCAAATACCTAAAGAAAATTGCATTGTATAAATTCTTGAGGTGACGGCACTTGAAAGGGATAAGCATACAATGCAGTCAATACCTTTCCACACAAGTTGTTTGAGCCGTAATAAACTAGCAGCCAACCTAAAGTGAAGTAACATCAGTTGAAAATACACAAGACTAAGGAGCAAGAAATATTATTAACTTGAACAAGAATCCTGTCATTCCTATTCCTAGACTTCATTCTTCTCCTTTAAGAATATGTAAGAATAGTACATGTACTACATTTTAAAGTTACTGCACATGAGATGGTGCAATTTCAGAATATCTCAGCAAGAAGACTGTCTATTTGAAGAATAAAAATTAATTTAATCTCTGGGCTGAATTAAGCCAAATCTTGCTCAGCCCAAGACACAGTTATTCTTTCTTTGAACTGAAAGAAATCCATAATATCCAATAGCATACTGTTTTCCCTGCAAGAAACAAGCCTGGGATACCTCAAAATAGAAAACTTGAAAAGACCCCAAAAAACCACCAACCCAAAGCTTTGCAGAAGTCTTAAACAAACCTTTACCATAGCCTTGAAGCAGAAAAAAAGACCAAAGACTCCAGTATACTCTTTACATTCCATACGGGCAAGTAACTGTTCTGGGGTTTTTTAGGTTTTTTTGTTTGTTTTTTTCATACCCCTAAAGAGAGGCTAAATTAATTCTGTATTGCTAACTGGAGACTTTGAGATGCCTGCAAGTGGATCATCTTTACAGAAGAGTCAGGTAAGTACATTTTAAAAATCCACATGCCTTCAAAAGTCTTCTGAAATCAAGAAAAATATTTTAACTGGAGACTGCTGTTACTATTCTGACAACCCCGAAAATACAGCTGTGTCAGCACTAAACCAATTAGCTGCCTTTCTAATGGTATGGAGTACATAGCTGCATGCTTGGGCCAACAGAATGGTTGGGATTTTGTAAGACAAAAAACAAGCTTCTCAGTGAACCCACTGTTTGGAATGAACTTCCCACTTAGTCCTGTCCTCAGCCATTTTACCATTTTAATCTTCTTCAGAAGATTAAATTTTTCTGTCTTTCTTCCTCATTTCCCATCTCTGCTGGAGTAGGCTCTGGACACTGCTTCTTGTATTCAGACAGTGATCCACTACTATCAACTAATATGGATTTTTATTTTTTAAATAAGATGGGGGGAAACCCCAAAATTCAGTGGTACAAAACCAGAAAAGCTTAACAGAAGCCAAGCTAATATGCAAGCCACTGAAAAAATAAGAGGACTCAGTTGAGTCACATGCAGAAATCACACCAGAAGGAAGTCACAGCATGAGCTAAAATGAAACGTGACTCAGTGAGTGGCAAGAGTAAAGCAGATTTGAAGAGCAAGTATGCAACCCAAACGGGAGACAGGCTATCTCCTCCAGCTTCAGAAGGCAGACTATCATGGACCTCTATAACTGCTCCTAGCCTTTCATTCAAAAGCCTTTCAGACTGAATTTCTCCCACTTGACAGATGATGGTAACTTCAATGCAGCTAGTCCCAGACTTTCACCCTCTTCTTATGAACTCTTCCTTCCCACTCACTGAAAACTGCCTTCCTCCTCAAGGAATTATTCTTCCCTATCAAAGATGCTAGAGTTCTCAGGCCTCTAAGATGCATTTTCAACAGAGCTAAAAAAAAATAAATTTCTTGGGGGTGTACTGATTGCTTCCACCAGCTAAATTCCTATTTACTCCTGTCAACTTGACGTCTAATTTTAAACAGGGATCCTTTCTTACAGGGTGCAGCTAGAAGAGGTAGAAGTTCAGAGTTCTCTTATTGGCCCAATATACATTTTTACCGGGATGTTAAAGTACTCAGTCAGGATAAGGAAGGTGCTGTTGGGGAATGGTAAAGTCATTTCACACTGTAGGAAAAACCTGAAGTGACCGCTGACTCTATTTAGCTTTACTAGTTGAAATTAAAACTTTAAGAAATCTAGGTGCCAATTAAACAGAGATTTCAAAGATCTCAAAAAAGACATGACATGTTTTTTAAATATATATATATATACACCTAGGCCTAGTGAATGCAGTGATTTCTTCTGGTCTCAGTACTGGAGGAAGCAAACAGAAAGATTCAGAATTGTTTAGCACTTGACACGTTACTTATTCTGAAGGCTGTGTTCTGCAAGCGTCCAACCCCATAAACCATGCAGCAAAACTCTTCTGCACCACACACTATACTAAAACTTCAGTCTATTCTTCCCATCAATAAATTCATTCCCCAAAATAAAGACATCCACCCTACCGACAGATATTTTTGAGAACACTGTTCTTCCTATACCCTAAAACTCCAGAAATCTCCACATACACCCCTCTCTTCAGCCTTCCTAAGACAGAATCTGTTCACTGAAATTACAAAGTCTCATAATACTCTTCCTGCGATACATGCAAGCAAGACAGAAAACAGCTTCTTCAACCTGCATTTAAGGGCAAAACAGTTATTTCAACTAGTCAATTATACCTTAGTGAGTTCAGCTGTCTGTACAAGCTTATTCTTGCTTCCAGCATACATCATCTGCTGTTCAGGCTTACATCCTGCAGTTGTGTGGGGAAAAAAAAAAAAAAAAAAGAGGTTTTGTTTAGTTATTTTGACTGCAACACTTCAAAAATGTGATTTTTTTTTTAAAAGAATCCAAACTGAAAGCTGAAGTTTCCATTCAGAAAAGTGACCTATTTCTTTTTTATCATCCTTGCTCTTACTTTCATATCTAGTACTTGAAAAGCATTTCCAGATGTAACAGTTGTGCAGGTTGAATTGGTGGTCTCAACATGCACCTGTATTTCTGCTTAGAGCGAACATTAAATATCACAGCAGTCAAACTTGAATCACAACAGTCAAAGCAGTACCTCCCCCCACTACAGCAGTGTCCCAATTACACTACATTCAATTCTTTGCCCTCTTGATATTTCTGGAAGATTCTCATATCTTTGCTAGTTACACTTACACAGATTTTTACAGCATGTGCCTTTGAGCTGGAGTCAAACAGAACAAACCAAGTCAGTTTGAATTTGTTGCTCTTACTCCTTATCTCTCCCCAAGTCCCCCAACTGAATTGGTAGCTCAAAATAACTCCCCACCCTGCCCCCCAACAGAGTAACTTCAGTCACAGCTGAAGTTAACTGCTGTTTAGAGTCCCAGCTAATGGTTCATTGTTTCTGACTCCAGTAGCAGTCTAACCACTAACTTACGTTTGCAGAAAATTTATTAAAACAGAAAACCTCAAGAAAAAAAAAAAAGGCTTTTCTTTACAAGTTACTAGACAAGAGTTTACTTTTAAGTCTTGCCAACCATAAAGAACATTGTCTAAGCTCTCTCTCCCATAACATTCATATAAAGATTCTCTGGTAGCTACAGAATACGCTCACTAGTTGCTCAAATTTTTTACCTACCTAGTTATTCTAGTTCTGAATAATGAAGGGTAAAACAATGTAATCAGTTTATTTTCTTCTACAGGATAACAAGGATAATCCAGTAACACCAGCAAGCTACCATATTGCAGTTCAGAACAGGGAAGCCACAGGAGCAATCCAGCTCTGTGAGTCCAATCAAGCCACAGGTTATTTGGCTTCTATTAAAATTACACAGTTCCCTGCGCAGGTAAGTTTATGTTGAGGGCTGCCGTGATGGAGAGGAAGCTACTGATCTATATAAACTTGGCACAACCTAATATTAGGGTTTCTTTCTCCTTGAACACAGTTTGTTCACCCAGCAGTGAAAACCTGCCCAGATCTCACTTACAGAGCCTTCTTTTCCTCCTTTTCACCCATAGTTATGACAGCCCTTTAGTCTTCCACATCACAGCACTGTTTGGATGCATCCTCTGTTGCTGCCCATCACATATAGATCCCCTGGAAAACCCTCCTCTCTAATCCCATCCTAACCCTGTTTCTTTCCTGAGTAGACATGGGTTCCCACGCCCTTCTGAAAAAAGCAGGAATTTCTTCCCACCCAATCACTAACATCCGAATAGCAAGATAGATGTTAACAGAGACCCTCAGAAACAGAGGGAGTATCTTCCAGCCTTCTTCTCACTCATTTCCTGAGCCTTGCCTGGTCATATTTTGAGGATTCCCCAAGATTTGACGAGAGGGTGACAGGAAACACATTAGGTTAAAGCTACATGAACAGATACAGAGTGCTCCAGGCTCCTTCCCTTTACAGGGGGGTGTTGCTGAGCACACCACTGAGAACGGAGGGGCCAGGCACATTTGGAAACACACACCTTTCCACCACCTATGCAGGAAACTAACACTTCTGTTCAGCTTTCAGGAATGGAAGAGAGAATCTCTCCTGCCATGCCTCCCAAGTGCCCTAAATGTAAACCCCAGAGGCAGCGAAAACCTCCAGCAACTAGGGAGCTGCAAGTGTTGACACTTGTCATGAGCTGATGGTGAGGATGGAGCAAATACACTGGAGATTCCTCTCTGCCAAAGGTCTCCACCTAATGCCATAGCTTTATAGTGCCTTGCTTCCAGCAGTGGCATAAGGAAATCTAGCCTCAAGCATCTGAGACACTATTTGAGCACTAAGCACTCATTTTATCTTCCTTAGCAAAGAATATTCCCATATTTACAGCACATAGTAGCTACCATTCACAGTGTTCACTCACCAACTGGACTGGAGAAGATGAAGCACAACGGATAAGAAACTCTTCCATCATCATGCTGATACTTGTAACTATAGACAATAAATGTTTTTTCTGAGGTTAAAGAAACTAAGAAATCAATGATTTTATTAGGATATAATCCTGTTATCAGAGCTTGATGTAGGCACAAATAAGTCATGCATTATACAAGATGCTTTACATTTGATAAGTAGTCTCACTGTTCTGCTTTCACTTCCATATTTGACTTTCAGAACCCATGTCTTTACCAACCTCTACCACAGCAGGGTGTGAGGGCTGTCTCTTTGTTACTGGTTCACATCAGAGAGCTAAAAATCACCCTTTCATCACAAATATTCCTCTCACAGCTTTGTAAAAAGACTTCCCACACCCACCAACATGTTTCTGGCTTAATGAAAGCCAAATTCTTTCCTTGCAGACTAAGCACTTCATTGTTTCAGGTGTTTTGCTGAATTTGAACTCAAGCTTTAGCTGGGACTCCTGCTTTATAGCCTCCTACTGCCTTATGGTCAAGAAAGGAAAGATTCAGAACAGCATGGGGAATAGTGCCAGCCAGCTTTTGAGGATAATGGAGGCAGATATTTTCTTCACTTGTAACTTAAATATCCCTCTTATTTAATCTAGTTAAAGAATAATTTACTTGCCCCCCCCCCCTTTTTTTAAAGACAGGGTTCTTCCCTATATCACACACCTATAGTGCTCCCAGAATCAGTAACTGCAGCAAAATAGCAAGGGCTACATGCTGAGAAACTACCAAACCAGATCCTAAGTTACACAGGCACTCCTCTGTATTTGTAAGTGTCCACTTACAAAACTGGTACACTTACATTAACAGCAGGCTGGTTTTGCTTTAATTCCCAAACATTATGTAGTCTAAAAGGAAATAAAATCTCAGGGAAAGCCTTAAATGTGTCAGTCATTGTTTCAAGAAGTGGGACAACTGTTCAGTGCACCAATGAGAACTGATCCCTAGGTTATCTCACAAGTAAAACATAGTAAAGTCACACAACAGGCAAGTATTGGCCTAAAAAGGTGAAGTCCAACTTTTAACATTTTGAACAGCTTCCAGGAGTGAGCAAGACCAAATGCCAGCAGCATAAGAAGGATATCGAGGTTGTCTCTCAGGCAGCTCATCTTTTAGCTCATCAGGAGAAATACCCTAGTAATATTAAACACAAGCAATATTTGAACAAATGATCTCACACTTGAAGGTATACTATGTAGGCTAAAACAGAATAACAGAATAGTGAAACAGCTTTAAATTAGACGTACATCTACAGTTGAACTGGTAACTCTTGCACAAATTACTACAGCAGTTTAGGAACATTTGTGTGCTAACAGATTCCTATGACTAAACACAGAATTAATGTCAGCATGAATAATCATCCCTATTTTAGGCATAATGAGTTTAGAAAACATTTTTGCCTCTAGTTGGATATGCTGGCAGCTACCATGCTTTTCTAACTCTAGTACTAAACAGAAGTAAGCAAGCACACACTAAAAAAGTATCCGTTAAAATCAGCTACATAAACAGTGCTTTTTCCTTCCTCCCTGAGCAAGCAAAAGAGAGCCCCCATTCTATTTAAAAGTGACATTAACTTCTACATTCTAGGGAGTAAGAGCTACAGTTAATGCTCAAATCCCTGGGAAGGATTTAATTTTGCCCTGTGTACCATGAAGAAATGCTACATGCTGGGCTGACCTTATTATGCCACCTATCAAATTTAGAGTCTGCAGAGGATTAGCAATCCTAGCTTCTAATTGATGGCAGATCAGCCCAGAGTCAAATATGCAGACCTACGTGGAAACACAGCAGAAATCTCTCCAAAAAGCCAGCAGGTGCCAAAGATGCTTTTTACATAGTTGTATCATAACAGCTCTACAATAACTTTTTTTGTGCAGTTAATTAGTCAACTCGATTGCTTCTGCATAGTTCCACTATTAATAGTGCTGTGCTTTACATGCAGAGTGACCATGCATTTAAATAAGCTCATGACCCAAATTAGATTAAGAGTCTGATAACAATTCGAAACTAAGGCAGTACCTTAGAGACAACAATACATTGCAGGCTGAAGATATTCTTATTTACAATTCATTTAACAAACCTCATGCTCCTCATCCAGTACCACCAACTGCTTATCCTTGTCGATTTTCACTACAAATCAAAATAAAACACAGATCAGTGTTCTTTCAATCCATTTATAAAACATGTGCATGAAGCTTTTTAAGATTCCCCCACAAGTATATTCCTTCTGCTTCTACTCTGCTTCTTCAGTCTATTCCATGACTTCACAAAATGACTGAAGTGCACAGCCTAAGTGCTGTTCATTGCAATACCCTCTTAAATTGCAAAGACAAATGTCAAGCTCCTCTACTTAAAGGCTACAAAATGTATAAACTCAAAATTGACTGTGCCTTGACATTTTTTATCATCACTTTACAACCAGTGATAGACTCTGAGCTGCAATTAAGTATAAATACTCTACTAAGAGCAGCTGAAATTTTGTATCACAAGAACAGCGTTGCTTTACTGTTAAAATTACAGGCAGATTTGGAAGTACTGAAGGTCATACAAAAAACAGCCTCTTGGCTCACATTTACCTGTTACAGAAGCAATATTACATAGGAAGGAAAACAGGAGAAAGGATTCTCTGCAAGACCTTGCAATTTTTGTCAGACATATTTTTAACTTACTTATAATGGCAGCATTGTTGGTTTCTTTACGAAACCGGAATTTTCTCAGTTTCTCCACCAGGTCTTCAGCAACATCACAAACCACCAGAGATTCACTCTACAAAAGGGAAGTGGCAGAGGGGAGGGAAAGATAAATCCTTCTAGTAAACCAGAAAAAAAAAAAACCCATGTCACGCATATGTGTGCATAAACCCTACTAAAGTAGAACTGCATGCAGCTTGCCCAAGGTTTCAGAACATATACATAAACCAGAAAAACCATGGAGGAAAGCAGTTTTTAAAAACACAAAACCAGAACACCTATCTGTTTTACTATCTCTCCTCAAAGCCACACAGTTAACTAGAAATATTTTATTAGCTATTCCTGAAGTGGGGTTTGTTTTCATAGCTCTTAAAAGTAAAGAAATTTTACAGATCATTTGATAAGTCCTGAAATAAGGATGCTGCTTAGAGTGGCAGTAAACTGCCCAAAGTAATTTAGGCATTTAAAGTAATAGGAGCTACTATTAGTTTTTGAGAAGAACAGACAGTAATCAAGGGTCACCACTTAAATTTTCACTCACAAAAATATTAACTGAACTGTTGAGATCTACACACAGAGAAAGCATTGAAGATGTTTCAATCAAAAGGCATGCATACTTTTCCCCATGGGCTTATATGTCACTAACTCCAAGTTTTGAGAAGAAATGTCCAGATAACATATTAGTCATCACAGTGAAGATGAGGAAGGAAATGATTCTTTCACAAGCAACCGTGCAGGTTATCTTCCACTGTATATGCAATTTTTTTAACTGTACTAAACCAACCACTGCCATTTCCTGAGCAACATTTTATACACACAACCTCTATCACCATGTAAGAGACACAAGCTAGCTAGACAAAGAAAAGTTATTTAACATCTCCCACTTATTCATGTTATTGTGTTTGCAAATTCCTAAGGCATCAAGGCTTTTGTGCCAAAACAACTGTATCTCAAGGCTTGCTTTAAAAAAATTTAGTAAGAAAATTTACTAAGGAGCTATTTCATCAAGACAAATCACTGCTCACAAATCAGAAGTTACTATTTAAACTGTGAGTTCTATCTCCTCACATTCAATGTTTGCTTGTTTGTGAGATTTTTCCTCAAAAAGCAGAGCAGTGTCTCTCCTTCCCCATTTCCAAAATCCCTTTGCAAATATCCTTTGTTTGTTGTTACTCCTAAAAAGGCTTCCACCTTGAAATTCTGGCACAAAGTCTTGTGCCTCTGCTTCCTTTGAACAGCTGGAGAGGAAATCAGGCTCTGCTGTGACAGGACAGGTCAGGCACTGTGTGTGCAGCCCTCGTTGTTTTGCTTGTTTCCCCTAAACTTTAAAAGATTGTTCTTGGCTCCCTCTGATGATCTACCAATGTAATTAATATCTACTCTCACTATTTGAGGAGGTCATTATTTAAAATTAAAAAAAAAAAAAAAACCACAAACCAAAACCAGAATTCAGGACTGCATTTCAAAGTTGAAGTTATATTCTGTATCAAAAGCTCTTTTCTGAAGGAAGCATTTCTCCCAGTCCTCTGGGCTCAGCAGTTTCCTAATTTTTCCTAGTTTTTCTTCCAGCAAACACTGCAGGGTGAGCAGCACTCTTGTTCGTACCTGTGCAGCCACATAAATACAAATCCTTAAAAGAAGCTGAAGGCTGTGCCTGCGAAACACATGGCAACATCAGATTCAGATCATCTATTGGGGCTAAGCTACCCCACCAGCGTTTGGTTTCATAAAAACTAAAGAAAGTCCAGTCAAGAGCCAGGAGGACTGCACAGACAGCGGGCAAACCTGCCAAGC